GAAAAGAAAAGGGGCAAAGGGAGAATTGACACTGCATTGTCTTTAGAGTTAAGCACAAAAGATGAGAATCTATCAAATGCATAAATTAACCTAACACATAATTAAAAATGACTAAAAATAAAATAAATAAAAAATTACATAAAGGATCTAATGGCAGTACATGGCATCATCACAAAGCCAAGGCAACAATCTTATCGAAAAATAACTTGACATGACAAATAATCATGTACTACTAACTAGACTCAAAAAACCACAACATGTACTAGAAAAACCAAACAGAAGGAATCCCATCATGGTTTTAAATTACAGCCAGCAATCACAATTGCTATTACAGTTTTCACGGCTGCGCATTGCAACAACTGTAATTTAAAACCACTTATCCTAAGAAAGGTATAAACTTAAGCTTCAAAAGCAATTGATGGCAATCAAATTCCAACATGACAGAACAGTGCTTACAAGTAGCTGATAGTACTCAGCTTCCCTCAACAGCTCGGAGTACTGAGATTCCTCTAGAGTGGGCACCACGCCATCCCTTAACCAATTGAGAATGTGCCTGAAGTGTTTGCCATCCCTATCAACAAACACATACCCCTGCACCCATTGCCACTCACCAAATCAATAAATAAACATCCCTAAAATTAAATGCATAATTAGACAAACACAGAATTTCGATACTGATGATAATAATCATAATAGTAGCAGTAGTATTAATTAATCAGGGTAAAATTTGGTTTTTAACTCTCTCAAGAAGATTTGATCGAAATTAATTTGAGTCCCTACAATTTAAAAATGGTAGTTATAAATTATAATCCTCGAATTTATGAAATACGTGGGGATTTCATCCATGATCTTATATTTTATTTTGGCTTGACCGAGGGCGAAATCTAATGCAGTTGAAAATCCAATGTTGAGGGTCCTAAAACAAATATTAGGTTAATAATAATAATGATGATGATGATTTGTAATTGCCTTCTGAGGATCTTGGCAAAGCGTGTGGCGGCCACTGAACATAGCGGCGAGCATTGAATCGGGTTCCCGCTGAGTGAGAGTGTCGGTGGTGGTGCAAAATTTCTTGCCTCCTGGGAATAATTTAAGGGAGAAAATTAACGGAATTGGAGGGAGGGGAAAACGGCGTCGTGTTGAGAGGTAGGGGAAAAGGGATATTACCGATGTTGAGGCGAACGACGGAGGATAAATCGGATTGGAAGTCCTTCATTGTGGTGAAGCCCAGCAGAAGCAGACGCTGCCACTGAAGTCTATTTTTATTATTATAATAATTCGGATGGAAATTGGAAAAGGAAACAAAAATGGGTTGGTTTGTTTTGTTTGGTTCAAGACAACATTTGATTCAACATAGGCAAGGACGGAGCCAAGGGGGACCTACGGGTGCCACGGCCCCCCCAACAATTTTAATTTTTTTTTATATACATATATATTACTATATGGCACCCCCTATTTTTAATATAAACTCATATGTATAATTAAATGAATAACCCAAATTTATTTTTTTATTCAACTTTTGGACTTCTGGTACGGCCTGCTATGTGGTATCACTTTGGAATTTTTATTTTATAAAAAAATGTAGCGCCTCATTTGATCATTCCAATTCTCGGCCCCCCAGTATTGAAATCCTGGCTCCGTCCCTGAACATAGGGCAAGTGAAGACAAAAGACATGTTATTTTCATGAATTTAATAGATATTGGTAGTTTGCTTAAAACTTCACTTTTTCAATATAGTCGAATTTGCTATAAAGTACCACTTTACTTTATATCTTTTGATTATTAAAAAAAGTTAACCATTGGTTGCACAGAAATAAGAGGG